ACTTTGCCAAGCAGACTTTTTTTTTTAGTATTACAGATAACAAGGATGTCTCTACACCCAGATTTTTTTTTTTTAAGTTTTCCATAAGTTCCTCAGGTACTTTATTACTTTTGTTAAAATGTTGAACATTGGCCAGGCTCGGTGGCTCAGCCTGTAATCCCGCGCTTTGGGAGGCCGAGGTGAGTAGATTGCCTGAGCCCGCAGGTTCGAGACCCACCTGGGCAACTTGGTGAGACCTCATCTCTACAATAAATCAAAAAAATCAGCCAGGCGTGGTAGCGTGCGCCTGTAATTCCGGCTACTCGTAAGGTTGAGGCAGAAGGATCTCCGGAGCCCAGCAGGTCACTGCACTCCAGTCTGGGCGACAGAGTGAGACTCCAACTCAAAAAAAAAAAAACAACAAAAAATGTTGAACATTGAAATATTGTATCTATTTAGAGATGTTCCATGTGTAAGGTCTGAGGTATGAGCCCAAACTCATTTTGTTTAAACTTCCCAGTTGCCCCACTATCATTTATTAAATAATCCACCTTTTACTGATTTAAAAAGGTAACTTATTTAAAGCATTTCTCTTATTACTTAATTCCAAATTACATGATTAAAGTTCTATTTACTGCGGTTTCAAATGTAGACAATATCATTGGCTTATCTACGAAAGATAAGAATTCAGTTTATATGCATCACCGCTTCGCTCCCTCCTCTAATGTTTGATAATTCTGTCATGTTTAGTTCCTCTATTGGGTCCTTTTTCTACTTCAAATAATTTACTTATACTACTGTTTCTGATTTCAACAGTTTTAATCAGTATCTAGGATTAAATTTAAAACCAACAATAGACTGGATAAAGAAAATATGATATGGAATACCATGGAATATTATGCAGCCCTAAAAAAGAATGAAATCATGTCCTTTGCAGCACCATGGATAGAGATGGAGCTCATCATCCTAAGTGAACTGAATCAGAAACAGAAAACCAAACACTTCATGTTCTCACTCATGTGGGAGCTAAATCACAAAGATGAAAATAATAGACACTGGGAACACCAAAAAGGGAGGAGGTGGGGAGGAGAGTTAGGGTTCACAAATTAGCTGTGGGGTACAACGTTCACTGTCTGGGGAATGGGCCACCTGAGACTCAACTCCCACCACTACATAATATGTCCATGTAACAAATGTGCATATGTATCCCCAAATCTAAAATTAAATTAAATTAAATAAGTAGGAGACCATTGACCTGAGTGTTTCCATACTTTGAGTTTCTACAAAATGAACTACACTCTTAGTACATAAACAAACCGAAACTTAACTTAGGAGTCTAAATTTTCATAATAGATATCCAGGTCTCAGTCAATCACAAGCAGTCAAATTTCAGGCAACCACAGACAGCCAACTGATCAAACCATGTCCAAATAAAGCAAAATACCTCACAGTAACCAATCAAGCTATTTCTGTACTTCAGTTCCCTGCTCTGTTTATGAATACTCACTGCCTATAGTCACAGAGCTCTTGTACAGCTCTCTGAACCTTTTCTGGTTCTGAGTGTTGCCTGATTTACTCATCATTCTTTGCTCAAATAAACTTTGTTAAACTTAATTTGTCTGAAGTTTTTCTTGCCTCAGCAATATGAAGATAATAGCACACAGAAGCATATATTTTTATGTTCCCACTCTATATTATTCACACCAGCGCCCAATATAATAATAATAGTAATAATATTATAGTGTATGGAGACAAAGAATAGAGACTCTGATTAATGTTTTACAATTCTATAACTCCCCCAGCCATCAGCTCTTGACCAACCAGCTGCAGCAGCTGTGTGTGTTGCTGGACGTCTACCTGGAGACTGAGAGCCATGATGACAGCGTGGAGGGGTCCAAGGAATTTCCCCAGGAGAAGATGTGTTTGCGGCTTTTCAGGAGTCCCAGCAGGATGAAGCCATTTAAATATAACCATCCTCAGGGATTCTTCAGCCACCGCTGACCTCCTACCGGCCTATTGTTTCCCCTGAGACTCCACCCTGAGTACTGGGCCTCTGTTTTCTGCTCTGGCCCATATGTGACTAGTAGTAATCTCCAAAGACATCAGCCAATTAAAGTGTCACCTGACCTTCGTCTGTGGCTTACTGGGGAGTGGCTTTGCAATCTGCAGGGGCATAGGGAGCCTTGGCACAGTGTGAAAGAGCATTTGTGAATAGGCTTTTTCTAGGAGGCCAAGAGAAGCAACGTGCAAAAAGGTTCTGGTTCTGCATAGAGGTGTTGCCCTCTTGTCCACATAGTCTCAGTTGTCTTTTTTTTTTTTTTGAGTTGGAGTCTCACTCCGTTCCCCAGACTGGAGTGCAGTGGCCACTCCCGGCCACTGCAGCCTCGACCTGCTGGGCTCCGGCGATCCTTCCGCCTCAGCCTTCCAAGCAGCTGGAACTGCAGGTGTGCACTACCATGCCCGGCTAATTTTTTATTTATTGTAGAGATGAGGTCTCGCCAAGTTGCCCAGGCGGGACTCGAACCCGCGGGCTCAGGCAATCCACTAACCTCGGCCTCCCAAAGGCGCGGGATTACAGGCTGAGCCACCGAGCACGGCTAGCCTCAGTTATCTTGCAGCTCGTTATCTCAGGTCCCTGCTGTTAGGAGAAGCCAAAGTCAGCAAAGCACAGAAAGCAAAAGCTCCTCTTCCTTCTGCTCTTTCCACTAGTCCTGTTGGGGTCCCTGATGACCAGATTCTAATTCTAATTATTTTATATTATGAGAGTCTGACAGTGCAGTGTAAATAAAAGACAAATTCAGTTGACCTTTGAACAACACAGGGTTTGGGGGATTGACCCTTTGTGCAGTCAAAAATCCACGTATAACTTTTGACCTAACTACTGATAATCCTACTGGAAGCCTTACCAATAAATAGTTGATTAACATAAAAAACAAAAAACAAAAAAACCAATTATATAACTCTTAAAGATCTATGAGTACGTACTGATATAAATAACTGACTGAAAAAAAAATAAATGAAAAGAAAGGACAATTCTGCCAGAAAAATTCCAACAAATAAAGGTAAAGAAACAAAGGAAACAGAAAATCACCATTAGAACACCATAGAACAATTGCTGTAGGCAAGATCCACTAATAGATGATAAAATTGTGGGTGAAAGAAAATTGGCACTTCACCTCTTGGTATTCTTCCCCCAAATCCATACGTCCAGTCTAATTCTGAAAAAAAAAATCAGAAAAACCCAAATGTAGGGGTATTCTACAAAATAGCTGATATTTACTTTTCACTCATGTCAAGATCATGAGACATAAGAAAAGGCCAAGAAACTTTCATAGATAAGAGGAGACTAACAACTAAATGCTGTGTGGTATGCTGGACTGGACCCTTGAACCGAAAAAACAAATTAGTGGAAAAACTGGTAAAACCCGAATAAAGTCTATAATTTAGTTAAAGTATTGGATCGATGTTACTGTATTGGTTATGATTATTATACCATGATTACATAAGATGTTCACATTAGGGGAAACTGGGTGAGGAGTATTCAGAAACTCTTTGTATTATCTTTACAACTCTTGTGTAAGTCTAAAATTATTTCTAAATATAGTTTTTTTAAAAATAAGTAATCTACTTTTGAAATAAAATCTTAAATTACCATGATGAATTAGCTCTTGGACACTTTAAAATGAATATTACTGGAAAAAAAGCAAAAGTTAAGTTTCAGTAGTTGTCAGCCAACTAATTTAATTTGCAAGTGAGTGAAGATACCCATCATTTCTCATTCCATTTTATCTGATCTACTCCATGTTCATCTTGATTTTTTGTATTCTGACAGCCTGGAATTGTTTTCCTTATGAAGACAAATGAGAAATGGAATCTTTACTATGTGTTTTCCAATTTATAAAATTAATAATGTTTAAAGTTTTGTTTTTGTTGAGTCGGAGTCTCACTCTGCGGCCCAGACTGGAGTGCAGTGGCATGCTCATGGCCACCACAGCCTCGATCTGCTGGGCTCAGGTGATCCGTCAGCCTTCCAAGTAGCTGGAACTAGAAATGCGCCATCACGCCTCGATAATGTTTCTTGATTTATTGTAGAGATGAGGTCTCACCAAGCTGATCTCGAATCCCTGGACTCAGGCAATCCTCTCACCTCGGCCTCCTAAAGTGCTGGGATTATAGGTGTGAGCCACTGTGCCCGGCCATTTAATTTTTAATCAAGTAAAATTATTTTTTAAAATCTGCTTATTTACAGTAAATGTAATTCCAATATAAGACACTATGATTTACATATCTGCAAATACAAATAGGGCAGATCCTTCCCCATTATTCCCACAATGATCGCTGCAGTGAGGCCTCCTCATCCCCTGCCAGCCCCTCCTTCGTTTACTCAGATTGTCAAATATGTCCCAGGCATTGTGCAAATCTCTGACCCAGGCATTGTGCAAATCTCTGACAAAGGGGACACAAGAAAATGTGCAGTGTGAGAACGTCTTACTCTGCCCTAGTTTCAAGAGGTTCATGCAACTGCCAAGTAACAATAAGAGCTTACACTTAATGGGGGCCATTTCATTCCTTACTATTCGACACGAGGTAGGTCTTATCATTAGGTATCCCCCATGCGTAAGTGCGATGAGGAAACTGAGGTTCAGAGAGGTCAAGTGACTCCCCAAAGGCGCACAGCTAACTGAGAGACGACCCCCTTCCCACCAGACGCCCCCAGAGGAGGACGGTGACCTTGAGGGGCGCGGCGCTCCACATCTGCGCCCGCCCCTGGGTTCGCCCGCCGGGGGTGTGTCTCTCCCCCGAGGCTGCGCGGCTTAGGCAGTGGGCGAACTGCCGGGCAGGGCGTAAGGGGGCGGGGTCCGCCGAGGGGCGGGGAGGGGTGAAGGGGCGGGGTCTGCCGGGCGGGGAGTAAGGGGGCGGGGCCCGCCGAGCGTGGGTAAAGTGGGCCGGGTCTGCGGCACTCCGGGGAGAGGAACTCGAACGCGGTTCTTCCGGAGCCCGTTTCGCTTCGCTTCTGCCGCCCCGGCACTGCAACATGGGGCCCTTGCCGCGCACCCTGGAGCTCTTCTACGACGTGCTGTCCCCTTACTCCTGGCTGAGCTTTGAGGTGACGCGGGGGGACCCGCCTCGGCCCGGGCCTGGAGAGTTGGGGCAGAGGGAGGAGCGGCCGCAGGGAGAGAGGTGTCGTGAAATTCCTGGCGCTGCCCACGGATTCAGATAGAGAGAGCTCCAGGGCTGAAGGTCATTTTGTGCTTATAAAGGGCATGGAATGACCGTCTCGGTCGAGCCTTGTGTCCTAAAACAGTCGTTTCCCATGGTGGTTGAGAACAGCGGCGGCTCCAAAGACTCAGGAGAAATCCATGGCCCGACTACCACTTAGCCTCTGATGGCAATTTGGGGGCAGGATGCAGAACAGTTTTGCCATTTCGAACCAAACAGTTTAGAGTGCCCTCATATCCCTACCCCGCTAATTGGTTGCCATGAAACAACCCTTCCCTCACCTGTTTCACTTTTCCCGTCTTATATGCTGGCTGACGTTCTCACCTCTGTTTGGGGGCAGGTCCTGTGCCGGTATCAGAACATCTGGAACATCAACTTGCGGTTGCAGCCGAGCCTCATAGCTGGGATTATGAAAGACAGCGGTAGAAAGGGCAAAAGACTACCCGGAGGGGAGGGAAGAGGGCTGAGAGAGAGGGTTTCACTCACCCCGGGAAGCTATCCTTAGCTGCAGCTTTATATTGGCACTAGCATTTAGTAAGTTGCCCCCTGCCCAAAATCCAGGTAGGAGTCCCCCGACCTGGGACCCTTGGGCCTTCTCTCACTAGTGTGCCCATCCTCCTCCTGGCAGGAAACAAGCCACCAGCTCTGCTTCCTCGCAAAGCACAGTACTTGGCCAGTGACATTAACCTCTTGAGACAGCATCTGCAGGTTCCCATCCAACTCCCCAAGGATTTATTCTCCGTGCTTCTTGAAAAAGGTGAGAGTGGGATGCAGGTGGTGTATTCCAGTGGAGAGCAAAGAAGTCTGCGGTTAAAAGGCGAGGATGGAGGGTTCCAGGAGACTGAATCAAACGAAGCATGCCTGGGAGATTACGGATCAGAGATGAGGGAGCTGAAAGTTGCTGGGGCCCGAAAGAGAAGAGGAGAAGGCGAATGGTTATGAGAAACTTGGGCGAGAGGTTGGGGGCAATTGAGATATGGGGGAAGAGCTGGTCTTGCGTTAGGAAACCAGGGAAAGAAGCCCTGCCTCTGAGTTTCTCTGCTCCACAGGAAGTTTGTCGGCCATGCGGTTCCTTACCGCAGTGAACTTGGAGCACCCAGAGATGCTGGAGAAAGTGTCCCGAGAGCTGTGGATGCGCATCTGGTCGCGGGTAAGGGTGGGGCTCTGGGAATCCTGCGGGAGGATCTTGGACGACTTTCTGACCCTCCCCAGCCCCGCTTCCAGAGTCATGATCTTTCCTTCCCTTATTGTTCACGGACCTCCTGTCCTTCAGTCACATTCCTCTCCAGGCCACTTCCTCCCTGCTGAATGTTCTTTTCTTTCCAGGATGAAGACATCTCAGAGCCCCAGAGCATCCTGACTGTGAGTGTCCTAGCTCTTCCCCCACTGCGCTCATAGAGAATCTGAAAAAGACAATAGTTTTCTTATTTCATGGAAAGGTCACAGTTATTTGGAGAGAAAGGATGTCTGTGTTTCGGGGGGGAAATTACTGAAAAGTCCAAACTAAAAGATTCTTAATGGTGCTGAATGGGAAAGTGCAAAGGGGCAATATATGGGTAGAATGTATTTGATGAAAGAAGTCAGTGGGAGAAAGTTAGAACCCCCAGATGGAGAGGCGAGAGTATTCACAAGTCTCCAAAGACTCCAACACAAACCCCACCAACACATCCATAATGGAAAGCAGGAGACTTTTAAAAAGATAAAAAGGGACACTATGACTCTGTGTCACAATTACACAGAAGCCTGAATGAGAACAACGGGAAATAGCTCTAAACATTGACCAGCCAGCTATAGACAGGGTATAAAAAGTAAGTTTTTCTTCAGCATTAAATCAGGAAAATCAAAACAGTATTTCCCCTCCAGTTTACAAAAAATAATTGAAGCATATTCAAATTTAATATCTAAAATGGCAAATCACACAAAAGTTAAATGTATGAATGGCCAATATATCTTCTAAACATCTTTATTCCTGCAAAGTATATGCATAATTTTTAGCTTGCTTTTAAACTTAATATTTAATGATCATTTTCATGCTGTTTTTAACTCTTTGAAAGCATAACTGTTCATTTTCACGTAGCATTCTGTTCAGTGGGCCTGTGTTTATTAACTTCACCATTTCCCTATTGTTAAACATTTGTTAAACCATTTCCCTATTGTTAAACATTAGTTCTCTAATTTAGCAAAGTCAAGGCAGTGTCTCATTAGGGTGGACTGCCTGACTTCATGGGTACTGCTTTAGGTCTAGGAGGTCAGTGGTTTCAGCCTTAGTTGTGCTTTAAAATCACCTGGAGCACCTTGGACCTAAGCCCCACCCCCCATATTCTGATGTAATTTTTCTAAAGGATGGCCCACACAAGGGAATTGCCTAAAGCTCTCTAGGAGAATCAAAGGTGCAGCCAAGGTTAAGAACCACTGATATTAAACTCTAACAACAAACTGAAGCCTTATCCTTGTTTAGAAGCCAGGTTAAGTGGCCACAGTCATGTGCCTTGTTCTAAAGTCCTCAGGAAGTTCCATGAGAATTAGAGCTCAGTCCTTGATTCAAAAAAGCATGTTTCATAAGAAAAATAAACCTGCCGGGCACAGTGGCGCACACCTGTAATCCCAGCACTTTGGGAGGCCAAGGCAAGAGGATTACCTGAGCCCAAGTGTTTGAGACCAGATTGGGCAACTTGGCGAGACCTCGTCTCTACAATACATTAAGAAAATTAGCCAGCCGTGGTATTATGCACCTGTAGTTCCAGCTACTTGGAAGGCTGAGGTAGAAGGATTGCCTGAGCCCAGCAGGTCGAGGCTGCGGTGGCCTTGAGCATGACTGGGTGACAGAGTGAGATTATGACTCAAAAAAATGCCCTCTGGTGATAATTTTTGTCACTGTAACTGTGCCACCTGCTTTTCCCTCCATCTCACTTATAAGTGGGTAAAGGCACTGCCAGGAAAACGGGGGGGGGGGGGGCAGAAAATGAAAAGAGCAAACTTTTCTCCTGAGATTCCCCACTCCCCACAATACAGACACAGTTGTATTCCCGAACTACCACATCCCCTTAGGCTGCAAAGAAGGCTGGTATGTCTGCAGAGCAAGCCCGAGGACTTCTGGAAAAGATCTCAACACCAACGGTGAAGAACAAACTCAAAGAGACCACTGAGGCAGCCTGCAAATATGGGGTGAGCGACTCTCTGGGTGGGTTCCCAGCCCCTGACCTGAAGACAGAAACTGAGAATCTCTGGGCGTGGGTTCCATACTTTTGCCCAAAAGTCCCCTCCCCAACATGAGTTCTCCCCTATACTCTTAGACCACCCTCACCTCCCTTCCTTTTCCTGAGCCCAAGGAAAGGAAGGGAAGGGGATCAATAGTGAGAGAAAAAACTGAGAGTAACTAAGAGTTAGAAAACAGAGAAGGCTCCTGGGGCCATGAAGCCTCTTACACCTCTTTGGTTGCTTTGCTTCTGTGACCCCAGTCAAGTATTGACTCAAAGGCTTCAACCCTAACCTAACAAACATCTGCTCTGTCACCTTCCTCCCTTCACTGTAACTTCTTTCTCCAGGCCTTTGGGCTGCCTGTCACCGTAGCCCACATGGATGGCCAGACACACATGTTATTTGGCTCTGACAGGATGGAGTTGCTGGCGTACCTGCTGGGTAAGTTAAAAGTTCAGTGCTGAACTTTGACCCCAGATCCATCCCCATTATATTAGTTGACTAGAAGGAGGGATTCAGAGCAAAAAATATTTTTGGCACTTCCAACAACAAAACCTAATACAGACAGTGTTGCTCAAGGTTGAATGGGAGAGTCCACCTTCACCCCCAGAGGAGGGAAGGAAGAGATTTCTGTACCCTGAAGCCAAGCAGGGTTCCTTCTGGAAAACCCCTGGGACCTTGTAGGGCCAACTTCTGCTGTCAACACACCTGAAAATGGGGTGTAGCATCTGTGATTTCTTGATCCAGGAGAGAAGTGGATGGGCCCTGTGCCTCCAGCTGTGAATGCCAGACTATAAGATTGCCCGGAGGAAGCAAACACTTGGTATTAAAAAAAAAAAAAGAAGCCACCTGCTGAACCACTGCTCCACTGCAGGGCACTGGAACTTGGATTTCTCTCTCTGATAGAGGTGTCCTCTGTGGCCCTGGGGGCTGTCTGTCTTCTCCTTACCCCAGGGATACTGGGGAAGGGTCTGCCATTAGCCTTGTGGCTTCTTCACTTCTGTGCCTCACAAATGCCCTTTAGAGGGCCCTACACTCTGCTTTCCCACAGAATAAACCTAATTCCATTAGCCAAAATGCTTTTGGGTCTCTGTCTCACCTGGTGTTGTTGGCTTTTTCTCATTCCTGTGGTCACATCCTGCCCTCTAGGGGTTGAGGAAGAAGAGTCCTTTTCATACTTCTAGCCTGCCCAGCCAGCCCAGCCACTCAGCCCTCAAGCCCACCTTGGGCAGCTTGTGTGGAAGGAGCAAGAATCGTTCTCCATTCTCTTACACAGAAACTCCCCCCTGACTCTTTGTCAGGGTCAGAAACTAAGCCAGATGGACTTTGCAACTAAGTTTGGCATTACTGTCCTCTGACCAGCCATGGTAACAGATGGGGGCTGAGCCAGGAGCCTAGTGGGAGTGAACAGTGGAGGGAACTTGAGTATGACTGACCTTATACCCAGATATTTAAATGGAGTCCAACCACATGGACCAGCACAACCAGGGCAAAGCAGTTCAGGAAGACCAGCTGAAGTTGCCATGGTTTAAAAATGTTGTGCATTCTTTCATAGTTCCCTTTCCCAACCCTCAAGGCAGATCCCAAGAAAACCCCCAAGGCTTCTCCACCAGAACTAGTATAACCACTGTTTCCTCCCACATACCTACAGTTTTTCCATTCCCCCCAATAATTGATCCAGAGTCCCTACCTCTATCTGTGCCCACTGTGCAATAATCAGAATCCCTTGCATTTCACTAGTATTTTAACCTCTTTTAGAACACTCTTTTTTGTGGCTTTTTTTGTTTAGTTTTTTTTTTGTTTTTTTTTATTGGAGTCACTGTCGCCCAGTCTGGAGTGCAGTGGCTGGGGTTCTCCCTCAGTCTTCCAAGTAGCTAGAACTACAGGCACACGCCACCATGCCCAGCTAATTTTTTGATTTATTGTAGAGATGAGGTCTCGTCACGTTGCCCATGCTGGTCTCGAACCCCTGGGCCCAGGAAGTCCTCTTCTGCCTCCCAAAGTGCTGAGATTACAGGTATGAGCCATGGCGCCCTGCAACACTCTTTATTGAGAATCTGAAACCACACTTGGATAGCTGTTGAAGACCAGCTGTGGAGCCTTAGCTCTGAGGGACTTTAGGAGTGGATCCATCTTCCCTTCCATCTCTCCTGGCTTTGTCTCTTTTCATGTCCTACTTTACCCTTTTATCCCCCATCACTTTCTGTCTTCCTCCTCTCTCCCCTTCTTCATGACTCTAGCATCCTCCAGGATTTAAAATCATTTTTACCCAGGTTATCTGTGAAGTAATATCAAAAGTACATCTCAGGTGGGAGCAGTGGCTTACACCTGTAATCCCAGCACTTTGAGAGGCCAAGGTGGGAAGATTTCTTGAGCCCAGGAGTTGGAGACCAACCTGGGCAACGTAGCAAGATGACACCTCGTCTCTACAAAAAATAAAAAAAAAGTAGCTGGGCATGGCAGAGCATGCCTGTAGTCCCAGCTACTTGGGAGGTTAAGGAGGGAGATCACCAGAGCCCAGGAGGTCAAGGTTGTGGTGAGCCGTGATTGTGCCATTGCACTCCAGCCTGGGTGACAAGGTGAGACCCCCCCCAATTAAAAAAAAAAAAAAGTACATCTTCAAAATTAGTACTCTCTTTTTCAAAGGTGTTTCATGACATGCATATCATATTTTTATTTTTATCAAATAAAAATATGGGAAGTTGTACAATCCTTAAAAAAAACTGTAAGGGAAAATTAAGACAAAATGTCACTTTTCTGGATCAAACCTCCTTCAAGCATAGTGAGTGGAGACAGTTTATGAATAAGATGCTCATCTCAGCACTATTTGTTGATATCAAAAATTGTGAACAACTTAAACACCTAATAGCAGGAGAATACTTGAGTAAATTATGGTACACTCAGGAGGTAATGTTTCTTAGCTATCAAAAATTGTGTTTATAGGCCAGGTGCAGTGGCTTATGCCTGTAATCCTAGCACTTTGGGAGGCAGAGGTGAGAGGATTGCCTAAGCCCAGGGGTTCAAGACCAGCCTGGACAACATGATGAGACCTCATCTCTACAATAAATTTAAAAAATTAGCCGGGCATGGTGGTGCACACCTGTAATTCCAGCTACTTGGAAGGCTGAGGTGGAAGGCTCACCTGAGCCCAGCAGGTCGAGGCTGCAGTGGCTGTGAGCATGCCACTACACTCCGACCTGGGCGACAGAAATTCTGACTCAAAAAAAATTGTATTTGTGAAAAAATTTGTAAGAACATTGGAAATTCTTAGGATATATTGATTGAAGAAAGATGAAACTATATAGTTTGATTTTAATATGTCAATATGTAAAAATATACTTACAATGCAGAGGATATTCATATTTAATTCTGGAATAAAATATGTAAACATTTTCCATTTTATTTATATACTTTAAAATTTTAATTTAAAAAAATTTTAATAGCTTTAGGGGTACAAGTGGGTTTTGGTGACATGGATACAATGTATAGTGATAAAATCTGGACTTTTAGTGTGCCCATCACCTGCATAGTGTCCATTGTACCCCATATGTAATTTGTCATACCTCCCTACCCTCCCACCCTCCGCTGTCCACTATTGCCCTTTGTATGCCTTTGTGGACCCATAGCTTAGCTTCCACTTATGAGAATATGTGATATTTGTTTTTCTGTTCCTACATAACTTCATTTAGGCTAACGGCGTCCAATTCTATCCAAGTTGCTGCAAAAAACGTTATTATTTCTTTCATTTTGTGGCTGAGTAAAATTTCAGCCATAATATACACACCACATTTTCTTTAACCACTGATTAGTTGATGGACATTTAGGTTGATTCCACATCTTTGCAATTGTGAACTGTGCTACAATGAACATGTGAGTGCAGGTGTCTTCTTTTTTCCTTTGGGTAGATACCCAGTAGTAAGATTGCTGGATCAAATGGTAGATATATTTTTAGTTCTTTGAGAAATCTGCATACTGTTTTCCAGATGTTGTGCTAATTTACATTCCTACCAGCAGTGTATAAGCGTTCTGTTTTCACTGCATCTGGGTCAACATCTATCTTTTTAAAAATTTTTTAATAATGTCCATTCTGACTGGTATAAGGTGGTATCTCATGTGGTTTTAATTTGCATTTTCCTGATGATTAGTAATGTTGAACATTTCTTTTCTTCTTTCCTTTCCTATCTCTGTTTTTCTCTCTCTCCCTCTCTCATCAAGATCTCACTCTCTCACCCAGGCTGGAATGCAGTGGCACAGTCATGGTTCACCACAACCTCGATCTCCTTGGCTCAGATGATCCTTCTGCCTCACCCTCCCTAGTAGTTGGGACTGCAGGCACACACCACCATGCCTAACTAATTTTTGTATTTTTTATAAATGAGATCTCACTACGTTGCCTAGGTTGGTCTCAAATTCCTGAACTCAAGCACTCCTCTCACACTGGCCTGTGAGTACTGGGATTATAGGCATGAGCCACTATACCAAGCAGAGCATTTTTTCATATGTTTGCTGGCCATTTGTATATCTCTGAAAAATGTCTGTTAATGTCATTTTCCCACTTTGTAATGGGATTATTATTTTTCTTGCTTATTTGCTTGAGTTCCTTGTAGATTCTGGACATTAGTTCTTTCATGAATGTATAGTTTGCAAATATTCTCTCCCTTTCTGTAGGTTGTCTGTTTACTTTGTTGATAATTTATTTTGCTATGCAGAAGCTTTTTATTTAACTAAGTCCCACTTATTTATTTTTGTTTTTGTTGCGTTTGCTTTTGGAGTCTTAGACATAAATTCTTTGCCTTGGCCAGTGTCCAAAAGGGTTTTTCCTAGGTTTTCTTCAAGAATTTTTATGGTTTCAGGTCTTACATGTAAGTCTTTAATCCATCTTGAGTTAATTTTTGTACATGGTGAGAGACAGGGATCTAAGTTCATTCTTCTGCATGTGGCTATTCAGTGTTTCCAGCACTCTTTATTGAATAAGATCTTTTCCCCAGTGTATGCTTTGTCTGCTTTATTGATGTCTAGTTGGTTGTAGGTATGTGGCTTTGTTTCTGAGTTCTTTATTTTGTTCCATTGGTCTATGTGTCTACTTTGTACTAATACCATGGAGTTTAGAACAAATGGATCTAACAAACATTTACAGAACAATCTACCCCCAAATAGCAGATTATACATTCTTCTCATCATGGATCATTATCCAAGATAGGCCATTTTTTTTTTTTTTTTAGTGATCACACTCTGGTTAAAAAAAAGAAAGAAAGAAAAGAAAAGAAAAAGTTGTGGATTCATATTGTGGTACAACTGTGCAGCTTTCTCAATGTATCAACTGCTTAAATTAATCCTGAATCTTCTCCCAGTTTTAAGAGGGACAGTGTTTTATTGTAGATGTATATTTTGCCACTCTGTTCTAGCTTCCTTCAAAATTCTTTACCATCCTATTTTCCTAATCCAATGATCTGAGTTTAATCTTCTCTGGAGGAGATAGACAATTTCTAGACTAATCCTTACACTCAGGATTTAGATTGTAATTTCTGAACTACTTCACCAAATAGAAACCCAGACAAAAAAGCAGAAAGCTCCCAAGAGCAACTGTATGTTTATTAATAAAGGAACACTCCTTTCTTCTAATCCAAGAAGGGCTTCATACTTATTCTTAGTTTCTTCTCTTTTTTTTTTTTTTTGAGTTAGAGTCTCACCCCGTTGCCCGGTCTGGAATGCAGTGGCACGCTCATGGCTACTACAGCCTCGACCTGCTGGGCTCGGGCAATCCTTCCATCTCAGCCTTCCAAGTAGCTGGAACTACAGGTGCATGCCACCTCGTCCAACTAATGTTTTTATTTTTTATTTATTTATTTGTTTGTTTGTCTGTTTGTTTTTGAGTTGGAGTCTCAATCTGTCGCCCAGACAAATGCAGTGGCATGCTCCCTGCGACCGCAGCCTCAACCTGCTGGGCCCCAGCAATCCTTCCGCCTCAGCCTTCCAAGTAGCTAGAACTACAGGCGCGCGCTACCACACCCAGCTAATTTTTTATTTATTGTAGAGACAGGTCTTACCAAGTTGCCCGGGCAGGTCTCGAACCTGCA